CTTCTTTCCTGTAGTCTGAATTTTGTTTTAGGGCAAATGGTGCCCTTTCAGTCTTGTATCATGGATGACAATGAGTACACTCCTCTCTCTGGTATTATTCGCTATAGATTTGTCTGTTTGGCTAAATGTGGGTTGACAGCCTCTGAGGTTATGAACGAGTCTGATCTCTTAACACCAGTAAGTGGCCTTTTTCAAGTTTTTAAATTTTATTCTACGTTTTACCCCTTTATTTGCTCAGGACTTTTCTGCTGTGATCCTGTTCGGAACAGTCAGTGGTGGTAAAACCTGGCACCAACTAGTTTTTTCTGGTAGTAGGTAAGGTGCTTGTTATACTTGCACTGACTGTTACCTTGGGTTTTTCATTGTCTTTACTCGTGATCAGTAGCGACTGAGAGCTGCATCTTAGATGACCACTTGTGAGCTTGTAAGACCTCAGTTCCTGCTCACTGAATTAGAAAGTCACGATTCACCATTCTCATCGTGGACTGTTAAGTCACTTGACCCAGTTGTCCCCTGGGACTGTGGTCCTAAGTCCCCAAGCCCAGTGAATCATTTCCTCAAGGTGTTTGGCGGTAGCTAAGAAGGTTTTAGAACTTTGCCCCTGTAGGCTGTACACTATCTTTCCTTAGAGATAGTTACTGCACAGCTCCAGTTCCTTCCCACATCTGTTCTGCTTGCACATCTACCTTACTGCTCACTGGTTTATGATTTGTTTCTGGGGACATAAGCACAATTTTGACTTCTTTCATAAGTTGTATATCATGTATATGTCTCTGGTAGTCTTCATTGTTTTTAAAAACCTGTATTTTTTAGTATAGGTGTATTAAAGTTGAACTGTTCATTTAGTAGCAGACTTTTAGATTTTCACCATTCTTTGCTTTTAAAAATAATGTATTAGGTATTCCTTTATGCTATAGTATACCTTATACATCATGTAACTATTTCTGTAGAAAAGTTCCATAATTGACATCAACTTTAAATTCTCAGAACTTACCAAAGATAAAATAAAATCCTTTTTCTGTTTTAATATTTAACTTTAAGTTTTCTTTCAAAAACCCCGGGTGTTTAAATAAATAGTTGATTTCCAGTAACTATCTTGATCTAATTTATGATTAGAAATGAGGTAGTTTGTAGGAAGAACAGCATTTAAACCAATATTGGTGTAGGGATTAGGAAGAATCAAAGTTGTGTGCTTTGGCTTATTGGTCTATCCTTATTACAGAGCTTCTAAAACTAATTGATTTAAAATAATTTCAAATTTAGATAAAAGTTAAAAAATAATACAGGGAACTTAACATTTTATCAAAAAATTTAAATCATTTTATTGGGGGCTCATACAACTCTTATCACAATCCATACATACATCAATTGTGTCAAGCACATTTGTACATTCGCTGCCCTCATCATTCTCAAAATATTTGCTCTCCGCTTAAATCCTTGGTATCAGCTCCCTCCCCGCTTCCTCTTCCCTCATGAACCCTTGATAATTTATGAATTATTATTATTTTGTCGTGTCTTACACTGTCTGATGTCTTCCTTCACCCTGTCAATCCCCCATGGAGGAGATTATATGTAGATCCTTATAATCGGTTTCAATTTTCTACCCCACCTTCCTTCCACCCTCCGGTATCGCCACTCTCACTACTGGTCCTGACATCTGCCCTGGATTCCCTGTGTTTCCGGTTCCTATCTGTACCACTGTACATCCTCTGGTCTAGCCAGACCTGCAAGGTAGAATTGAGATCATGATAGTGGGGGGGAGGAAGCCTTTAAGAATTAGAGGAAAGCTGTATGTTTCATTGTTGCTCCACTGCACGCTGACTGCTTGTCTCCTCCCCACGACCCTTCTGTAAGGGGGTGTCCCGTTACTTACAGATGGGCTTTGTGTCTCCACTCTGCACTCCCCTTCATTTACAATGATATAATTTTTGTTCTGATGATGCCTGATACCTGATACCTTTGACACCTCTTGGTCACACAGGCAGGTGTGCTTCTTCGATGTGGGCTTTGATGCTTTTCTGAGCTAGATGGCCGCTTGTTTACCTTCAAGCCTTTAAGACCCCCAGATGCCATATCTTTTTATAACTGGGCACCATTAGCTTTCTTCACCACATTTGCTTATGCACTCATTCGTCTTCACATTTTATCAAATTTATTGAAAGAAAGTGTAGAGAAGAGGTTGCAGTGGTTGGCATCTTCTAGGGGTTCTTTTTTACTAACCTGTTGTTGTTAGGTGTCGTTGAATTGATTCTGACTCATAGTACTATAGAACAATAGAACGAAATGCCCCTGGGTCCTGCACCATCCTCGTAATTGTTCTTATGTTTGAGACCATTGTTGCAGTTACTCTGGCAATGCATCTCATCGGAGGCCTTCCTCTTCTTACTGCCCTTTCACTTTTAGGCATGATGTCCTCTAGGGACTGATCTCTCCTGATAAGATGTCTTACATGCATGAGATAAGTCTCACTGACCTTGCCTCTAAGGAACATTCATTGTTCTTCTTCCAAGACAGTTTTGTTTGTTCTTTTGGCAGTCCATGATACTTTGAATATTCTTTGCCAGCACCACCGTTCAAATGGATCTATTCTTTGGTCTTCCTAATTCAATGTCCAACTTTCACATGCATATGAGACAATTGAAAGTACCATGGCTGGGTCAGGTACACCTTAGTTTTCAAAGTAACATCTTTGGTTTCAGCGCTTTGATCTTGTGCTCAGATGTACCCAGTACAGTGCATCATTTGATTTTTTGACTGCTGGGTTGATAAACATTGACTGTGGATACAAGCAAGTTGAAATCTTTGACAAATTCTGTTGTTTCTCTCTTTATTGCGATGTTACCTATTAGCCCAGCCGTGAGGATTTTGGTTTTCTTTACATTGAGTTGCAGTCCGTTCTGAAGCCTGCAATCCTTCCTCTTCATCAACAAGTGCTTCAAGTCCTCGCTTTCAGAAAGCAGGGTTGTGCCATTTGCATGTCACAGGGTGTTAATAAGTTTTCCTCCAAATCTGGTGCTGCATTCTTCTTCATATAATCCACCTTTTCTGATAATTTGCTCAGCATACAGATTGAATAAGTATGCTGAGAGGATATAGCACTGATGTATATCTTTCCTGATTTTAAACCATCCAATATTCCCTTGTTCTTTCTAAGCTACGCTTCATAATGTGTTACATATTTTAGTGTAGATACTCTTATTCCCTGGTTAAGTGACTCCATTTTCGTCCCATGCTGTGTCCCAGATGAGTCAGTGCTCCTGTTCTCCCTTTGTAAATGGTGCTTGGCTTTCCTTAGAGTTCATATTTGTTGTTTATGATCTTAGCTCCTTTATGTTTTCAAGAAAAGTTAGGATTTTACAGATTGTTTAGCCTTTTCTTAGTTTTAGTAAGAAGTGGTTTTCACCTTACTTTATCTTAGATAGAAATTGGAAACCCAGGAATTTGTTTTTGTTTTGTTTTTCTGATAAATTCTGTCTTTTATGGTATTCCAATTAAACGTTTGTTAGAGTATTTGATAATATCCTATAAATCTCAAATCTAGTCCTTTTTTCTTCAAGATATTCTTTCCCTATTGCTTAATTTAGATGTTTTCTTGGTGTTTAATCTTTCTTAATGTTCCTAGGATTATCATCTTCTCCATAGCTACTTTCTCAAAAATTTTGTAGGGGATATGTAATGTTCGTATATCCTGCCCTAACAAAGCATTCCAAATTGGCTGGTGTGTAAGAGTGGACAGTTAGTGTTGCGCAGTACTAGAGGTCAGTAGTTCAAACTCTGGGTGTTTGCATTGCCATGTTTTCATTGACAGCTCTAGGGGAGGACACTTACCTGCCTTTCCCAGCGTCTGGAAGCCGTAGATATACTTGGATCATATTACCCTCTTTTCTCTATATTTGTATATTGTCTTCTACAAAGAATGGACTCAGATTGGACTAGGACTCACCCCCCTCCAGGATGACTTCGTGCTAATTGAACTCACAATATTTTCAAAGATCTTATTTCCAAGCCAGATCATTTTATAGGTATCTGCATCCAATAGACCTGTAAAGATGACATCCTAAAAAGTCTTATGGTAGTTCTACTCCTCACAGTTCTCAACCAGCAGCCACTTCTCTGAAGAAAGATGGACTTTGTACTCAAAGAGTTGCTGTCTTGTAAACCTACAGGGCATTTCGACCCTGTCCTATAGGATTGCCAGGACTTGACACCGGCTCGATGGCAGTGAACTATTCTTTTCTAACTAGCATGCTTTTGAGAAATCCATGGACATTAAGGTTAACAAATAACACTGGGAATGAATCTTCCTGGTATTGAGCCAAGGCCAGTACCAGCACGTATCTAGTGACTTTAGAAAGGTACTTCCTCTGAGAGTGGAGACTATTAGACGTGCTTCTTCGGTCACCTGCCAGAACTCCAGGGTTAGGTCTGGATTTTAGTCCTCCCTTTTTGCTTTACTGGGGTGTTTTTGTACTATCTGTACAACCATATGTAACGTCACTGAATCAGGAATATTTTTTAGCTGCTTTTTCTTCAGAGGAGAAATATACAGGGGTGGAATTTTTATTTTTGATATTTTTTTTATTGATTTTAAATTGATTATTTATGATAGAAAATTTATATATGGCCACTGTTAATGTGTATTTGTTTTTAAATGGGAAATGGGATCGAGAAACACTACTGCTTTTTATTTAACTGTAAATGTCTCAGGGAAATTTTTTTAATGAAAACTTAGCAATGTTTTGTTTATTAGAAAGTGTGAATGGATCAGAAGGGTGAATGGTGGTTGGAGCTATTAAAATTATGCAATGTACAAGTGGTTGTGTAATGCTTTGCATATAGCAAGCACCAGAATACTTCGGTTGTATGTTAAAATGAAACTAGCAATAGAAACTCCCATGTTTATGTAGGTAATCTACATGGAGCTTCAGGAACAAATCCGTCCTGTGAAATAGGATGTACACTTACTAAGTCGTGGACATCTTCTGCTTTTTATTCCCTAGGTATACTGCAGCACCCAGATGGCACTGTTTTAAAACAGCTGCAGCCACCCCCAAGGGGTCCAAGAGAGCTGGAATTTTATGATATGGTAAGTGAAGGGAGATCTGAGTTAAGGAGAGTTTCAGGGTTTGGGGTTGGTGTCTTACAGTAAAAAACAATATTTTATAACGTATCTTGATACTTCAGATGTGTAAACAATGTTTATCTTTAATGAGTGATTCATTCTAGTCCTTTGTATCCATTTCATTTTTTTTTTTTTTTTTAAACATTTTATTAGGGGCTCATACAACTGTTATCCCAATCCATA